TGGAGCGGAACAAGGGAAGAGGGAAACGTGGAAAGCCAGGGATGGGGTGGAATTTTCTGGGAAGCTCCGGGAATGTGGGGAGGGAGGGGTCGCAGATCCCACGCAACAGGGCCCTCAACTCCATGAATTCCAACCTTTTCCCTGGACGTGGCGAGCGGGGATAACTCCGTGCGCAGTCCCTTCTTTTTTCCGGGAACGCCGGATAAGCGCAGGGAAGCCAATCCACCTTTTTTCGGGAATGTCGATCCGCAGGAGGTGTTGTTCCCATCCCAACCCACAGAAATCCCGGGAGTTTTAACCCCCGTCTCCCGCTCCAAACCCGAGGGGGGTTTTTTGGCCGGAAGCGGGAATTCCGCGGCGCCGACGAGGGAAGAGGCTCCGAGATCCGAAGCCGCCGATCCGCGGGAAACGCGGAGCTCGGGGGGATTCCCGAGGGAGCCGGAGGGAGGGCTCAGGGATCCCCGTCGGTGCCGGCGAAGGTCTGGAATGCCCTGTGGAGCGCCACGCGCCGGAAGAGCTCCGAGTGCTCCGACGCCGTCGCCGCCAGCGCGGCCGGAGCGTCCGCTGGGATTTGGGAGAACCCGGATCAGCCGGGAAGGGAACAACCGGCACAGGGCCCCCATCCCTCGGGAATGTCCCGTGCTCCCGGAGATCCCCTGGGATTGGGTGGTTCCCCAGCCCAGGTGGGGGTTGGGTGGGATTGTTCGGGTTGGAAAAGCCCCAGGAGAACATCCAAGTGTTCCTCGGATCCGTGTCCCCAAGGGCCACGTCCACAGGGATCGGAGATCCCTCCGGGAATGGCGACTCCAGCCCTGCCCTGGGAAGATCATTCCAGGGCCTGACAGCCCTTTCCATGCGGGAATTGTTCCCAGTATCCAACTAAATCTCCCCTGGCCCAGCTGGAGGCCGTTCCCTCTCCTCCTGTCCCTCATTCCCTGGGAACTGGGGACCCTCCACCTCCTGAAAATTCCTTCCAGGGAATTGTGGAGAGCTGGGACAGTGCCAGGATGGCACAGAATCCTTAGGGATGGTTCAGGTTGGAAAATCCCTCTGGGATCATGGAATCCAACCATTCCCAGCACTGCCAAGGCCACCCCTGACCTGTGTCCCCAAGGGCCACATCCACAGGGATTTGAAATCCCTCCGGGAATGGCGACTCCAGCCCTGCCCTGGGCAGTCCATTCCAGAGCCTGACAGCCCTTTCCATGTGGGAATTGTTCCCAATATCCCACCTGAGCCTCCCCTGGCCCAGCTGGAGGCCGTTCCCTCTCCTCCTGTCCCTCGTTCCCTGGGAATTAGGGAAAACCCCCCCAGCTCCCCCCTCCTGTCAGGGAGTTGTGGGGCGGGAAAAGCTCCCTCCTGATCCCTCTTTTCTCCGGGATGAGCCCCTTCCCAGCTCCCTCAGATATTCCAGGTTCTCCAACCCCTTCCCAGTTCCCTCAGCTATTCCTGGTTCTCCAGCCCCTTCCCAGTTCCCTCAGCTATTCCCTGTTCTCCGGCCCCTTCCCAGCTCCCTCAGCCATTCCAGGTTCTCCAGCCCCTTCCCAGCTCCCTCAGATATTCCAGGTTCTCCAGCCCCTTCCCAGTTCCCTCAGCTATTCCCGGTTCTCCGGCCCCTTCTCAGCTCCCTCAGCCATTCCAGGTTCTCCAGCCCCTTCCCAGCTCCCTTGGCCATTCCCATTCCAGGATTTCCAGCCCCTTCCCAGCTCCCTCAGATATTCCAGGTTCTCCAGCCCCTTCCCAGCTCCCTCAGCCATTCCTGCTTTTCCAGCCCCTTCCCTGGCTCCGTTCCCTTCCCTGCACACGCTCCAGCCCTTCCACGTCCTTCCCAAACTTCCCGATCCCCATCCCGTTGGATCCTCCCGTCAGGGAGTTGTGGGGGCGGGAAAAGGATCCCTCCCATCCATGTCCCGACCCCCCCCCCCCCCCCCCGAATTCCCAAGGGATCCCGGCAGTGCCCACTCACGGGAGCAGGACACGGCGACTTCCGTGGGGAGGCTCCGAAGGGGATCCCGGTAGAGGAGCCGCGCCCGGAGCGGGAACGTCCGGCTGTTCCTGGACAGGCTGTAGTTGAACTTCAGGAGGTTGCAGAGGGAATTCCGCTGCGGAGTTCCTTGGATCCAGTCGGAAAAGCGCTCCTGGGGGGAGGGAGACAGCTCTGAGATGTGACACCACCGGGAATACTGGGAATGATTCCAGCGTGGAAAGGGCTGTCAGGCACTGGAATGAACTTCCCAGGGCAGGGCTGGAGTCGCCATTCCCGGAGGGATTTCAGATCCCTGAGGATGTGGCCCTTGGGGACACGGATCCGTGCTGGCCTTGGCAGTGCTGGGAATGGTTGGATTCTGTGATCTCCAAGGGTTTTTCCAACCTTAATAATTCCATGATTCACCTCCCGCTATCCCAGGGAATCCAACCCGGCCTTGGACACTCCCAGGGATCCAGGGGCAGCCACAGCTTCTCTGGGAATTCCAGCCCAGCCCCTCCCCACCCTCCCAGCCAGGAATCCCTTCCCAGTATCCCACCCAAATCTCCCCTTTCCCACTGGGATCCATTCCCTGGATCCTGTCATTCCAGGCCCTGATCCCCAGTCCCTCTCCCGCTCTCCTGGAGCCCCTTCAGGCTCTGGAATGTTCTCCAAGCTCTCCCGGGATCCTTCCCTTCTCCAGCCTGGCCATTCCCAGCTCTCCCAGCCTGGATCCATCCCCTGCCATTGGATCCATCCCCAGCCCAACTCCTCCCTGGGAAGGAGTTCAGGGAACAAGGGGGTTCCCTGGGAATCTCAGGGCTCAGGGCAGGGTCTCCCTTCCCCTTTCCTGCCTTTTCCATCCCCACATTCCATAAAAATCCCTCTGAATGGATTCTGAGTGTCCTTTATCCTGGAATGGTTTGAGTGGGAAGGGCCCTTAAATCCCATCCCATTCCATGTTCAGGGACACCTCCCGCTATCCCAGGGAATCCAACCCGGCCTTGGACGTTCCCAGGGATCCAGGGGCAGCCACAGCTTCTCTGGGAATTCCAGCCCAGCCCCTCCCCACCCTCCCAGCCAGGAATCCCTTCCCAGTATCCCACCCAAATCTCCCCTTTCCCATTGGGAAGCCATTCCCTGTGTCCTGTCCCTCTCCCAATCTCCTGGAGCCCCTTTAGCCTCTGGAATGTTCTCCAAGCTCTCCCGAGATCCTTCCCTTCTCCAGCTGAACTCCCCTCAGCTCTCCCGCTTTTCCCGGAAAACCGAACTCCCCCCTTTGGGAAACCCAAATCCCTGTGGGCATTCCCGAGCCCTCCCAGCTCCCGGGAGCACCTGGAATTGGTCAGCCTGGAATCTCCTGCCGGAATATCCCTCCAGGTGCTGGGAGAGCAGGGCCAGGAAGCGCCGGAGATCCGTGGCCAGGAAGCGCCGGGAAAGCTGCTCCAGAGGGATGAAGGCGGGGATGGAATGACGCTGGATCCGAACTTCCGGCCGGAGCAGCAGCTCCAGGTGGAAGGAATCCAGGTGGGATCCCTCGTAGGAGGTGCTGAGGGTCAGGCACAGCCCCCGCTTGGAGAGCTTCCCAGAGATCCCTGGGAATGGGGAAGGACAGGGATTAGTGCTTGGAAAGCTTCCCAGAGATCCCTGGGAACAGGGATTGGTGTTTGCAGAGCTTCCCAGGGATCCCTGGGAATGGGGAAGGACAGGGATTAGTGCTGGGAGACCTTCCCAGAGACCCCAGGGAACAGGGATTGGTGTTTGGAGAGCTTCCCAGGGATCCCTGGGAATGGGGAAGGACAGGGATTAGCACTTGGAGAGCTTCCCAGAGATCCCTGGGAATGGGGAAGGACAGGGATTAGCGCTTGGAGAGCTTCTCAGAGATCCCTGGGAACGGGGATTGGTGCCTGGAGAGCTTCCCAGAGATCCCTGGGAATGGGGATTAGTGCCTGGAGAGCTTCCCAGAGATCCCTGGGAACGGGGAAGGACAGGGATTAGTGCCTAATTCCCAAATTAAATGCCTAATTCCCTGTCTAATTCCCAAGGAAACTGCCCAATTCCCAAATTAACTGCCCAATTCCCAAATTAACTTCCTAATTCCC